TCAAGCAGGGACCTCCAACACCATCTCCATCCCCCCAGCCAGCAAGGGGAGGAGAAGAAAAAAATCCTGATGCATTTCTTCTGCCCTTCAGTGCCTTTGTGGCAGACCTGCTTTTCCCAGAGGTTTCCCAGAGCTGACTGACCTCCTCGCCAAACGTTGCTCGATGGAGAGTGCAGCTCAGGAGATGGTGATGCCCTGTCCTGTGTCCGCAGGAGCAGAGCCCACAGGAGGGATGCCCCACAGACTGGGAGATGCAGGGGCCAAGCTGCAGCGAGGAGGAGTGGGCTCAGCTCAAACAGGAGGAGTGTCCTGCTCAGCACCCAGGGACACAGCTCATCTCCAACAACTGGTGCTGCAATGGGGTAAATGAAACCTTTTGTCAGCATCATTTCCCCTGGTTCAGCTGGGGGGGGAACTACATTTTATAGACCTTTGGCTTCTCATCCAAAGGGGAAAAAATAAAAGAGAGAGAGGAAAAATGCCCTTTAAATAGAACTTTCCATGCTGGAAGTACCTCTGGAAACACAGCGAAGGGGGAGCCGCCAGCACGAGCGATAGGTGCAGCACGGCGGGACAGGGGATGGATTGGGACACGACCCAGGAACAGGCGTCTGTTCTCCTCTCAGCTCAGCTCACCCTGCCGATGCTCTGCCCTTGCCAGGGGAGACTAAATCCTGAGCCTTCAACCTGCCCAGGGCTGCCCCACGGAGCCTGGAGGCTGAGGTGATCCCTGTCCTGGCTAGGGAATGTGTCACCTGGTGCCATCCAGACCCAGGTTGCTCCATGGTCACCCCCAAAGCGATGGGACACAGTTCTCCTGCCCCAGCAGAGTTCCCTTTCTCAGGACAGCCACAGATGCCTCTTCTCTTGTGTTTAATTTTGCCCAGCTTCTGGGTGCACTCTATCCCTCCCCAGGTCAATCTCCCCGTCTACTTTGCCTTTTCCCCAGATTTGTTTAATAGGAGAACTCCCAGGATTATTTTCGCTGCCGGAGCTGCATGCTAGCAGCTGGTGGGAACGTGGGCTGCCTACAGCAGGGAAAGAGAAACAAGATGCTTGGCTCATTTATCCAGCTCCCTGGCCCCCGATAAAAGCCACGCTAGCTTCGTATCCACTGGAGGAGACCACCAACCAGGCCTTTAAAGTCCAGCCACAACTGGGAATTCACGCTCAGCCCACGGTGCTGCGGCTGCAGAGCGCCCTTCACCTGCTGGTGCTGGAGCTGAGCATGGAGCAGCCAGACCCGTGCGCTCCTGGGCACATCGTCTTCATCCAGAGCCTTGCCCTGGTGTGCCCTGCTCAGCAGCTCCTGGCTGCATGGCAAAAAAAAACAAACAACACAGTGAGGCACGGCAGGGGATGGGTTTGGGAGCTTTTTGCAGTGTGAGGCTGCAGATGTGGGCTTGCACTCAACAGCAGCGAAGCCACTCCGAGGGAAGGGCGCAGCTGGATCTCCGATGGAGGACATGAGCCATTGGAGACAGGGACGAGGAGGGACGTCTCTGAGACAGGGAGGTGTCTGCAGGTGCTGAGGTGTTCGGATACACAGGCCAGGCTCCAGGCACAGCCACCGGGTAGCAAACCAGTGCAAAGCTGGGAGCCGGGCAGGACGGTGCTGCATTGCTCCGAGTAGCAATAAGGGCAGCAAACACTGCTCCACAGACCTCCCTCTTCCATTGTCCAAGTAATTTGCATTTATCCTATATTTTTTTTCCCCCCTTTCTGTGTTTTTCCCAAGGATCCTTATTCTCTATGGCAATGACTTATCGGTCTTGCTTCACTGTGACTTGGGATATGTTACCAATGCCATTTCTTGGCTGGGATGAGACAAGCAGGACCCAGGCTGGGGGAGGGCTGGGATACACCATCGGGTTGCCCCATGCCTTGGCAAGCAGGAGCAGACCAGGGGGGCTGGGGACCCAAAGAATCACACCATTTCCCCGTGTGCAAGACCTGACCGTTTGGCTTCTGTTGCGCCGAGCCCAGGTGAGGGGCGAAGGCTCAGAGGCCAGCGGAGGACGAGAACAACGGTGGTCGGCGCTCAGCTGCGCAAAGCCCCAGCCCTCCGCCTGAGCTCATCGCCTCGGAAAACATTTGGGGAGGACGCGTCCAGTTCGGCTTCGTAATGCGGAGCGGCTTGGCAGGTCTGCAAGCCCCTGGGGCCCTTCGCGAGCATTAACCAGTGGGTTAGAGCAGCCCAGCCATCTCTCTCCTTGCCGGGACCTGGGTTGCTGAGCGAGGCTCTGCTCGGCGCCATGTGATCCGGGGAAAAAGCTCGGCTGGTCCCTTTAAGGCCGAAATTACGAATATATTTCTGGAGGCTCTGGAAAAGAAGTCAAGTCTATTGGCTTCTGCGTCACCGGCACCGGCCATTGATTCCCTGTAAATGTTTCATATTTGGCCAAACTGGCTGTTGACGGAATAGTTTCTGATTTAACACTCTCGGCTACAGCCGAGACCCAGATGGGTCCCATTAGCTCTGGAGAGCCCGTCCCCTCCATTGGCTGCTGGAGGAACACTTCCTCACGGCCCCCTCCTCCTTATTCCCAAACAGACACTTAAGCCACTCTAACGAGATTTGCACTGGAATCCTGGTTATTTCAGCCTTCAGCGGATGTTGCTTTTTATCGTTATTGTTATTTATCTCGTGTTTTAATGAAAAAAAAGGGACATGCGTGGAAGCAAGCCCCAAGTCCCACTGCCACCCTCTCCCTGCTGTTGGGGTCCTCGGTAGCTCCCAACCCTGCACCCCCCCCCTGCCCGGCTCCCCCAGCCCCACAAGGGTCCCCCCACGTCCTTCCCTCTCCCCCTCCCACCATTTTTCTCCTCCCCTCTGCCCTTCTCGCTCCCACTCTATTTAGTCTGTGTTCAAAACCCTGCACAAAAGCTCTTACAGATCCCCGGGCTGTGACCCAAACAGTAAAGAATGTTTATATGCTGGTCGCCTTCCATTTCTGTGTATTAATATTGCGCACACACGCTCATGCACTCACACATGGCGTTTCTGGTGCCTCCTCGGGCTGCCGGCCAAGGGAGCCCAGCCAAAGTAAAGGCATCTGGGCCCTTTTTGAGCAAGCAGGAAAAGGAGGAGGAAAGAAAAGGCAAACGCAAAGGCGTGATAGAAGCAGCCCCCCCAGCCTCTGCCCCTGCAGTGCCAGGCTGTGCCTGCCCCAGCAAACCCCCCCGTGTCCCTTGTCACTCCCCGCACAGCTGCGGGTGGCTCTCTGGGGACAGGGGTGGCAGCGTCCAGAGGTGCCCCAGGGGCTTGGTGGGAGCCGCAGCTCAGGGTTAGGGCTTGAAGAGGAGGCACAGAACCCCAGTGGGAGCCTTCTGCCAGCCTTTGCCCCCGGTCTCTGGAACCTGGGGTTTCCTGGGGAGTAAAGACCAAGGCGAAGAAGTCCTCCAGTACCTTTTCACCATCCCATGTAACGAGGTCTCCTGTTTTATTCGGCATAGTGCTCACATTTTCCACAGTCTTCCTTCTGCTGCTGCTGTAGTTACAGAAGCTCTTCTTGTTGCCATTGACATCCCTGGCCGTATTCAATTCCATTTGGACTTCACCTTTCCTAATTTCATGCCTGGATGCTCAGACTATCTGTGTTCCTCCCAGATTATCCATCCTTGCTTCCACCCTCTGCACGTTTCCTTTTTATTTTGAGCTTTGCCAGTAACTCCTTGTTCATCCACCCAGGCCTCCGGGCACTTCTGCCTGCCTTCCTCTTCGTTAGGATGCATTGGAGGAGGTGATCCTTCAATACTGACCGGCTTTCTCGGGCACCCTTCCACCCAGAGCCTTGTCCCGTGGCACTGCACTAAGCAGCTCTTAGGGGCCAGGTTCTCCTCTCCCCACATGCAGGTTTGTGAGCTCGCTGTTCATCCTCCCCACTGCTATAGGATCAGGAAGGCCACCAGCTCGGGGTCACTCGCTGGCTCCGTTATCACGAGGAGAAGGAAGTTCTCATCAATACATTCCATGGGCCCTCATCTGTTCGTTCACCTGGCCGGGCAGCCTGCAGCAGACCCCACTATAATGCCACCTAACCCCGTCCTCCCTCAGCCCTAACCCCGAAACCCTCAGCCAGCTCCTCACCCGTCCCCAGGCAGAGCTCGGTGCTGGTCCCTCACGGAGGACAAGAGCCCCTCCTCATGTCCCCAGCCTTCCAGTCGTGCAGCCATCCCACCACGTCTCCAGGACCACAGCAACATCACGGCCCTGCAACCACATGCCCGTCCCTGGCTCACCCTGTTTTTTTCCCCACCCTGCCCTCATTACAGCACAGGAGCTCAGAGGGGCACCCCGGGGTGGTGGGCTCCTAGGAAGGGCTTGGGGGATTTGTCCATAAAGGAGCCCCGTAGGTATTGCCTCGCCAATCTGCAGATGCCGGAGGTGACCCTGCTTAATCCCCACGTTGTTCCTGTTGTGGTTTCTCCCTCTCACATCACCCCGTGCCCTTTGTGCTCCCTCCCTCCTCGTTCCCAGCTGAGAGCAGCACCCAGGCTGTCGGCCACAAAGCGCCCATCTGCCTCCCGGTCTGCACAACGTGCCGACCTGATCTCACCCATATCACCTCCTGCCCCCCTTCTGCACTGCCCTTGGTGTCTGCAGGGCTGTTTCTCTCTCGTTTCTCATTCCTCTCTCCCAGATGCTGTTGCAAAGGATTTTTTTTTACCCTTTCTTAAATCTGCTTTTGCTGACACCGCTCATTGGCACAGCTTTATCAAGCAGAGGATTGCTTTTCCAGCTGGCTGGAACTGGCTCTTATCTAGCATGGGACAATTATTAGGTTCTTCTGCCACCCTTGCAGCCCCCCTCTACCAAAACCTTGTCTCAAAACAAAAACCAAATAAATAAAAAGGGAACTGCAACAGAGGCTGCTGACCCTCTAGTGTAAGAGCAGCAAATCACACTCATTAGAAACACCTAAAGATTGTCAGAAACCTCTAGATCTTCCTTGGGTCCACACCCTACTGGCTCATGTTAATTTTCTACTTCAGTAAAGGACAGCAGAGCCAGCTGAAACACCCAGACAGCTCAGAGGAACTGCCTGGTGTTCATGGACCTTGTCTCCAGATCCCAAAATTCCCAAAGAACAAACCCTGATGCACAGACTGCGGGGTCACCGGGTTGGTCTGTGTGGGATTTCAAGGGGCTGCTAAGGAAGGTGAGGCGTGCCGAAAACTTCAGCCTTGAAGAAACCAGGGGCTGTGCCAGGTGGGGTGTCTGTGGGGCTGCAGAGTCCCCCTGCAAGCGGGGTTTGGACAGGAGCAGGCTCTGCTACCTGCAGAAAGTCGGGGTGGATTTTAGCAGTTGCGTTTTGGTAACTTACTGCAACGGGCTTGAGCTCACCTCCCTTCTGCCACTCCTCAGAACCCCCTTTGAAAGCTCAGATATTGGGGCCAGAGCACGGCTGCTGGTTGGAGGATGCTCGTTTTCCTCGTTAAGGGCCACTGATGGCAAAGACCTCGTTAAGCTGCTGGCGGTGCTGCTGGCGGTGCTGCTAGCCGCGGATGCCGGTTTGCATCCTGCGCTGTCTGCGTGAGCAGATCTGGGGGGTGGCAGAATGGTTGGTACTGCCCCCCAAGCTGCAAGGGGGGCCTCTACATCAGCAAAACAAAGTAAAATTGGCTAAATGTGAAGGCGAAGAGGAGTTTCTTAACCTGGTCTTGCCTGAAGACCCCTACGTACGTGTACTGAGGTCTCCAATGCTGGGGCAAACCTACAAAGCCATGGGCTGCCTGGGAAGTGCCAGGGCTTTTGACTGAGCTCATTTTCCTTGTCTATAGGAGCAAAAAAACAGTGCCACACAGCTTTACCGGCACCTGCAGGCTGTGATTTGGGGAGGGAGCAAGAGGAACCCTGCTCATCGGCGTGGTGAGGATGCTGCCTCACCCGACACGTGCTGACAGCTGCTGCAGGCTGAAGGGCGGTGGAGTTTGGTTCCTTACACACAGTCTGGCACTGATACCCACGGAGGGGAAAAGCTGCCCAGTGCCAGCAAAGCCACCAAACCTCCTGCCGGGCACTGTGGAAGCTCCCTGTGCTGCTCAGCTTTTAACCCAAATAATCGGATGGGCACTGGATTTCCTCCTCGCCTTCCAGGAAAATGACCTCCCGGAGGTCTTGGCAGGGGTTAACTCTGCGCAAAGTAGTCACGCAATGGGGAGGTCTTCTTCCAAGCACCAAATAACTTGCAGAAGTAATGCATTTGTTCCTAATTAGGATAATTGCCCCATCACTTTTCTCTGTGGCATCGGCCAACCTAACTCACAAACGTCTGAAAACACGAGCTGAAGTATGACCAAATTTAGGAGCTGAGTCGAGTAATATATTGCCTCGGTTTGTCCTAAAACATGAATTGGCTGGGAGTCCTCCTGCGTATTGCATTTCCAGGGAACATGAGGAACCCATTGTGTAATTAGCAGTAGTATTTTCAACGCGCTGTGGTGTGCAGCCTGCGCCGCTCTCTGCCCTCCCGTCCCGGGCTACTGCACCTCCTGGGACCCTCGGTTCGTGGCTGGGAGCTGCCAGGGGGCTACCAAATGCCTGTGCTGCAGAAGTGCTGAGCACGGCTGTGGTTAAGCAGGAGGTAAGGACTCACCTCCTCCTTCCTCCCCACAGGCAGCCAGAGCAGGGATGTGCCTTGCTGTAACCCGCTGGGGGCCAGCAGCAGAGCTGGGGACAGGACTCTGGAAGGCTCAGAGCAAAGCCCAGGCCATACACCAGTGTGCCCAGCACAGGCAGCTTGCTGGGGGCCTGGCAGAGCCGATGTCCTGCCTGCAGGCTGCCTGGATCTCTCTTGCTCCTCTTTCCACATCCACCCGGCCCCTCTGACTGCCATACAAAGCTTCTTTCCCCCAGGGGCGTTGATATTTAAAGGTTTTTGGAGAAATCCATTTGCACTGTAAGGATGACTAATGGTGAGGCCTGGGGGTGAGTTCAGTCTCCTCCAGGCCTCATCCCCGCCAGGCCAGGAGCTGGCCAGAAAACGAGAGAGTGCTTCCCCCTCCCTCGGCCCTGTGCTAGCAGCATCGTGCGTTCACCCCGCACATCTCATCCTGAAATGTTGCCCCAACCCCTTGCGACTTTTGGGAGCTTTTTTGGAGGGATCGAGCGCTGCTGCCCTGGTTGAACAGCCACGTTGCTGCCCCAGGTCTCTGCTGAGATCCTTTTTGGAGGGGAGGTCACACAAAGGGTCTGGGGGTGCCGGAGTTCCCAAGGAGCCTGGCTGGGTCTCCTCCTGCTCACCCTACACCACGAGCCGTGTCCCAGGCTGGGGACTGTCCCCTGCCACCCGCTGTCCCCTGTGAGGAAGGGTTCATGGTTAAAGGATCAGGGAAGGAGATGAGAGTGGACTTTCTGCGTGCCAGGACATCCTCCCGGGACAGCTAGTTGGCCCGTTTGAAGCCTCGCTCTGCCAAAGCCGTGCATTTCCTCTCCGCAGGGATTTTCCACCCCATCTCCACATTTCACACAGACTTGCTGTGGGTGAGGCCCAAGCTGAAGGGCTCGTTCATTCCTTTCACAGAGCTGGATCCTGCACCTTGCACCGGCTGCTCCCCAGCCTGGCCGTGCCTTCGCCTTTGCTTCCCTCTCCTCTCCCCCTCCAGCTTCTTTCTCCCCTCCTCTGGGGCTTTGCCCCACGTCGGAGCAGGGAGCGCCCCTCCACCAAGCAGCCTGCTCCTGGCCCTGCACACGGTGGCTTCATCATAGGAAGAAAGGGGGAGGAAAAAAGAAAAAGAAACAAGAAAAAAAGAAAAAAAAAAAAAAGAGGACTCATTTTCTTTAAAAAATACAAACATGGAAACCTTCCCATTAGTGTGTGAGCTGATGGATTTCCAATCGGCTCCGCGGCCGAGGCAGTCTGCACACACAGAGCATGGACCCGCAGCCTGCCTCGCGCCGTAGCCTTTCTATTTTTTGATGGTAGGGAGGTTCAAGTCGAGACAGAGCAGCCCCCAGGGAGTTTTTCTCGCTGCAGTTCTGCCTGTTTGAAGATCCCAGCCTGGGAGGTCAGCGGTGTCTGTGCAGGACCTGGGCAGGGAGCTCGGCCCCATCCCATCCGCAGGCTGCAAATCTGCCTGAGCCCGGCCACTCGCACGTCTGTGCTCTTGGGAAAGCACTTAAGCCTCTTGCTTCCAGTCCAAGTGCATCCTGCTTAAATCTCCCTCCTGGATCTGGGCGCTTAATAAGTCTTAGCATTTTATTAGCAGATACTAATAGCAGTGGCTCGGAGCCGCGTGCTTTGAATTCAAATCCCCCTCGGCACAACATGCTCCGCTCATCCCCCTGGCCGCGCGGACGCAGACATCTCCCACATCCCCTACGTGGAGCCCTTCCTGCCCAAGGGGTGAGCAGCCAGTTCCTGCTAACTGCAGGCTGAATCTCACCAGCACCATTAGCAGGGGCCAGCAGGAGAAAGGGGGCCACCAAACCTGCAGCCCCCAGACCTGCACCGAGCAGAAGCTGCCGTGTCCAAAAGTGCCTCCAAAAGCCTTCTCTCCCACCTCCGGTGGCCTCTCCAGGGAAGTGGGCCTCTAGCAGGCGAGATGAAGCAAGGCTGAGCTGGTGGATATTGATGGCAACGTAGGAACTGGGCCAGAAAGTTGCCTCTGGATAGGGAGGAGGAGATGCAGTGGAGAGCAACCAAGCCACATCTGGGTTTGAGGGTGAGCCCAACACCTCCGAATGGCTACACGAGGGCTCTGGCTGATCCGTTTACACCTACTGTGGATGGAGAGACACAGAAGAGGGTGGGAAATCACTGCCTTGCCTGCTGGTGTTTTGCAAGCAAGCCCTGCAAGAACCTCTTTTGCCTGCAGGATGGGCGCACATCCCACAAAATCCCACCACGTCCCTTGGACTCGGCCCCTTGGCGTTTTCCAGGCTGTTCCTGCAGGCTCAGTGGGAAGGTGGCACACTCTTTCCTCAGCTCCTCCTATCTTCCCTCTCCACTTCCAGGTCCAAGGAAACCCCAGACTGGTTCCTTCCTCCTAGCAGCCACGGTGCCCAGGTTTTTCTCCCAGCTGAGAGAGCCCCCAGCACGTCCTGGGAAGGCCAGACGTGGTCAGCTCATCAATTCCTCAGTCCCCAGTTATTGTGGGTCCCCAACCACGTAATTCTCCCCATCTGTTTGATGGCGATGTGATGCTCGCAGGCAGTCCCAGTGAGTCCCACGGCGGTGTTCCCAAGAATTGCTCCTCACCCCAGCATTGCCCACCTCTTTCTCATGCACTGCTGAACAAGTCGGTGCTCGGTGACCCTTCTTGCTGACCTCCTCCAAAAACAAAATGCGGGACCCAAGACGGCTGCCAAGGATGGTGAAAGCTGTGCTGGAAAAAAAAAAAGGAGAAGGGAAAGCAACGCTCTGGGAAGGTGCCGCCCCCAGGATGGGGACATCTCGCCCGGCTCGGGGGCTGGCTGCTCCCCCTGCTCCGCAGAGGACCAGGCAGATGCCTCGAGTCCAAGCAGCACATCTGGAAGTGGGCTCCATTAAAACAAACCTTATTACATAACAACAGACATCTGGAGCCTGTTACCACTACATTTTTAGTAAAAATAGTTTTTGATATGATCTCTCCGAAGAATGTGGCAGAAGGGCTCGGAGCCAAAGTCCTCCAAGAACGGCTGTAACTGCTTCTCATAAAGCATCCCACTCTGCCTGCTCGGAGCAGGGCTGTTTCCTCTCCGTGCACACACCGTGCCTCCCTGCTGGCGCTCGGGGGCACCGAGGGGAAGGATTTGGGCTGAAGGCAGGTGCAGGGCTGGGGGCAAAGCTGAAGGGTTCACCAGTCCCCAAGCTCCGAGGTCTCTGTAGGCTTCGCACAGCCCCTGGGATCAAGAGAATCGAGCAGTGTGCACCCAAATCTCAGTTAGTCAGGGCAGGAGGCTGTTAGCTCATAGGAGCCTGCCTACGGACCATCTCTGCACGCAGGGAGGAGCCCCCCATGTGCTGGGTGCTGAGGAGGTGCCAAAGGGCCAGGGCTGGATGAAACTGCAGTGCTATGCCGAGACTTTGGTGCTCCCAGCCTGGAGGAAGATCTGGCTGGAGCATTCGCCTCCTCTTCCTTCCATAGTTTTTAAGCCATGAGATTTCTTCCTGGCATTGTGGCTGTGGTCCTGGCTCCCCCCGGCTGCCTGCAGGTCCCTCCCCACAGGGCTGCGGAGGCTTCGCCCGGCGCTAGCAGACCCCGTGCAGCAGCAGCAAGGAGGGATTTGGCCGCCCCGACTCTTTTGCAGGTCAGAATTGGCCCGGCAGAGGAATGATGGAAACTCCCTTCCTCGCTCTTGATCTATCTGCAAGGTTCTTAAGTGATGGGTGGAGTTGGAGTGGGACAGACCCCAGCCACAGCCAGGAGGGCTGGTGTTGAGAAACCCGTACGAGATGGGGGATTTTATTGCTGCCTTGGGATGCCAGCCCCGAGGACCCCATGCCTGCTGCTGCCTCTCAGCACCCACAGCCAGCTTCTCTACCAGCGTGGCCACAGCACCCCAGCCAGCATCTGGCCCCAAAAAAAAGCTCTCACAGCTTTTTTGGGCAGGGAGGAGGTGGCCACGCTCCATCCAGCTGCTGTCCGGCTTGGGCTCGCTCCTGGCATGCGGGTCCCTGGAGGGGAGGGTGAGCAGAAAGAGAGCTGACCCCAGCTCGGGCTGGGCACGGGACTGCTGGGGGGATTTTGGCGACTGCCTTGCCACATCCCAGAACAGGGCTGGGGGCCACGCGGCATTAATGCTGTCAGTGCCCTGGAGCGAGGCTGTACCCGTGTCCTTTTGCCCCAGGCTATAAAAGACATGAACTTAAATCCAGTCTCTCCTTTTTTGCTCCCATTTATGCCAACCAGACTGCAGCTTCCCCCTGCCCCAGCAGAAGGTTGCTCGAGGTCTCTTGCAGAAAATGCTCCTCGTTTTTCCTCAGCCTGCTCCTTGCACATGGCAGTGCTCGTCTGGCTGACGTGCAGCCCACCTAGGAAAGCCCAAGTGGTTAGTCTGGCAAAGCTGAAAGCAGACGGCATGAGAGCCCTGTCGCTGGAAGCAGCAGGCTGCTTGCCTTACAGGTGAGGTTACCAGTTCCACCTACACTGAAAAATGTCTGCAATATGTAAGAATGCTCCTTGCTCTCTGCTTTTCTAACTTTGCTTGGAGACTCTCTCCCACTGCACAGCCTCTGGCTGAGATCAAAGCAGTCCCAACACCCTCCCCATTTCCCATTTGCTCTGGGGGCTCTCCTGCACCCTACAAGCATCCCAAAGGAGCAGCTCCCGACAAGCTGCAGGAAGGGAGAAAGAAGGGCAAGAGAGAGAAATGGTTCCCAAAACCCTGCTCGGGGCTGACGTGAAGCTGGTGCCTGCTCTTGGCTTCACCTTTGCAGCCATCATCTTGGGAGATGTTGTCCAGCTGCTTCAAGCCTGGAAAACAAAAGGTCTTTATTTTCCATCTCTCTCTCTTTTTTTTTTTTTTTTTTCTTTTCAATTTACAGATTAAAGGGATGGACATTTACGGGAAAGTCCTGCACAAAAGGAGCCGAAATGCAGGCTGCTGGGGAGCAGCACTCATGAACTGAGTGCAGTTCCTGTGCTCATCCTCGCGTGGTTCCCCTGCATCTGCCGGTGCTGTTTTCTCTCACACCCTTCCTACCCCTCTCTTTGCTTTGGCTCACCCGACATTGCCACTGATTTTCCACCAATTTTGTCGTACAAAGCCTGTGAACAAACACAGTGGTTTGGAGAAAAAACAGAGGATCAGATTAGCCTCAGCTGGCATTCCCCTTGCTATTCCCACCCGCCCTCAGCCTGTGGATGTCATTTTCTTCTCGCTGGAGCAGTGGAGTTGCTGGACCTGGTGCTTTTCCGTGCTCCTGTGCTCTTGCCTGGTGACTGGAAGCCCTGGAGAGCAGCATTTAGGCCTGGAGCAAGGAAAAGGGAGATGTTTCTGCAAGCACCAGGCTTCCCCTGCCTGCAACATTCACGCGAGCAGGGGTGATCCCTCCTGGGCGCAATACTGCATCCTCTGCCGGGATGCTCGGCTGTGCTATTTCTCCTGGGAGAGCTGCAGGAAGAGATGGGGCCAGGGCTGCCCAACCCACGGAAGGTGGCCCCAGGAGCCCAGGCACCCCACGCGTCTCTGCCAGCCTGGCAGAGCTCGGGGACATCCCTCGTGTCGCAGCAGCGGGGAGGTGCTGGCAGGACGCCGGCTGTGCTCAGACAGGACGTAGCTCCCTGCCCACAGACCCAGCGTCTGGCCTCCGAGTGCTGCAGCACGAGGAATCCAGCTCGTTGAGCAAGAAGTTCAAGCTCTGATTTGCAGATATTGTTAGGAACAAAAGCCCAGAGCTCTGCTCATTGTAATCTCTGACATAATCGCTGTCATTGTGTACATTCCCTGCATGAACGTTTGACACTGGGAAAATACTTGCAGTTCCTGAAGGACTGGCAAAATCGAGCAGGAGTGTTTATTCATGCCAGAACCTAATCCAGAACTCATTTTTCTTTCTCGCTGGATAATTTATCTGGGGAGAACACGGGCTGTGGTGAGCCGGCACCGCCCGCTCCTCGCCAGGCAGCGGGTGGGTAATGGCAACGGGATCCCACCGAGAACCCCTCGGGGAATTCGTTCCTAATGAGACGTGGCCAGCCCCATAGCACCCTCCTGGTCCTGCCCTGCATCTCTCGGCTGATCCCACCACCAGCAGGGCCACCCAGAAGATGTACCCAATGTGCCCAGGCTGGAGGTCACGGTGCCGCGGGACACCTGTACCCCCGTGGTTTCCAGAAGCGCACTGTGCCTCCTGTGGCACACCAGCCTGCTCTGCACACCTTCCTGGCACCAAAAACACGGGGTTTGGGCAAACTGTGGCAAGTGTGAGCTGAAAAGTGTACTTCGAGAGCCCCATTGCAGGCAGGGCAAGGGAACGTCTCTGCATGGAGCATCCTCTTGCATCCTCACCTCCTCTCCTCCCTGCCGGGCAGGGCAGTGAGTGTCCCCCAGCCGTGTCCCTCCCGGCACTGCCATCCCCCGTGCCTGCTCGATGCCTTTGCCTTGCTGCAAGAAGCACTCAAAGAATGGGAATTAAAAAAAAAAAAAAGTGGGAGCCCCTTCCTCTACCCCTGCACACCTCGCCAGCAGGCAGGGGAGCAGCGATGCCATTGCCAGCCACAAGCCCAGCAGCTGGATCCTCATCCCCTGTGAGGCTGTCAGGGAGCAAAGCCCCGGCAGCTGCCACAAAGGGAGCAGTGATCAGAAGAGCCCTGCTTGCTTTGGCGCTGCAAAGGGCT